GAGCCTCTTCGGTTGGGGACATGTTTGCCAGTTCGCTTGTCCCACCATTCGTGGACAGAGTCGGCAAGGTGCCAGTCAGAGGTGTCCATGTGAGTAAGGCCAAACTTGGCGACGATTGACCTCCATAGCTTAAGCGTGTAGCGAAACTTGAAAAAGAGATGTGCACCAGTTTATTGTTCCCTTTTACAAAGAGAGCAGAGACCATAATTTGCTCAACCCCGTCTCTCCAAACGATCGGCGGTCCATATCCTATCTTGGAGGGCCAACCAAGCAAAAAAAATTACCTTCGGGGTAGCCCAAACTTTTCAAACCATGCAATCCATAGGGGAAAGAGTTAATCCAAGGAACTGGGCCTTGTACGCGGTGGCCGCCGTGTAGATCTCATCGTTCGAGTGCTTCCAAACAATGTCATCATCAAGCTGCTCATCAAGGTGGACGTCATTCACAAGCATCCATAGAGTGAAAAATTCCCAGATGTGATCAGCAAAGACGATGGTGTTGAAGATGATTTTGAATATCCATGCATCACTTTTGAGAGCTTTCCTCACCTTCCAATTCTTTTTTCTCTATCTTTTTTGGACTCCCCTTGGCTCCTCGGGCGCACACCCAAGGATATTGAACCCTTAGGGTGTTGGCTCCTCATGAAAATCGAGATTCGGCTAGCCGGATTGGTGATGGTGGCGTCCTCCGAGTCATTCCTTAGGCCACTTTCAATGCATAGGTTCTTAGATAATGTGCTAAGCATATAAAAAGTTTAGCAACCAATGTCCACAATGCATAGGTGCTTCACTTGTTGGTGCTAAGCTCCCCTCATTTAATAATTTAGCAACGAAACTATTTCATGCATTAGTGAGTTTCTTTCATTTAATTGCTTTTTCCTAGATTCATGTGTTTGGCATTGGTTCTTTCCGGGGTCATCAAACTTACATCTCTCCTCTTTATTACCTTCCCACATCAGATTTTCTTTTGCCTACATGACAGTCTTAGCATCTGTACAAGATGGAACATTGGGGAGGGCCTTAGCATCGTTTAGAGGAAAGACTACTTCCCTGTCTTGGTTGGGCACTTGGCTTTGGCCCTGTTTGGATCCATGGGTTAGAGTTAGTTTGGACGCAACTAACCCAAAAATATCCAAACAGGAGGGTTAATTTGGGTTAGATGCATCTAACCCATCCAAAAAGACTAACCCACCCAAGAGATGCTTATTTGGGTTAGTTCTTCTAAGGACCACTAAAAAAACATTTTTTCTCTCGCTCTTCCTGCAGTAGATCCCTCTTTATTTCCTCAAAGCTTCTCGTCCTCTTCCTCCCTCCCCCCCTCTCGCACCGCTCGTAAAGGCGTCTTGCCGTATCCGCGCTCCATCTAACCCTGCCATCCAAACACGTCTTTGGTTAGAGTTAGTTCAAGGTTAAAATCTAACTCTAACCTCTAACTAAGTTAGAGTATCTAAATAGGGCCTTTGTGGTGGAGCGGCTCAGAGAAAGTCGGTGGTGGTAGCGCGTCGCTCAGCGGTTATTTGTTGCTTAGGCGTGAGTCTCCAGGAGCGCAAAGTACGCCGTCGCCGGTACTTCCCACATGTCGCCTCCCTTGGGATTGGTTGGATCCTGCCATCAATCCTCCAAAACTTCTAGACACTTAGGCCTCCTTTGGTTTGTAGGATTTTTGTAGGAATTTCATAGGATAGGGTTTTTGTAGGAAAAATTCCTTTAGAGCCCTTTGGTTTGTAGGAATGGAATCCTATTCCTATGGAGGAATTCTTCCTATCCTCCACATTTCATAGGAAAATAAACATTAGCCTAGACTCAATGGAAAAAATCCTATGAAGTGAATCAAATGACATCTTCTTTCCTATTCCTACTCATAGGATTTGAGATGCATGCCATCTCATTTCCTATGACTTTTCTATTCCTATGATTTTCCTACCCTATGAACCAAAGGAGGCCTTAGGCACTTAGGGCATCTACAGCGGGACTTGACAAATTTGACCCCTTATACGTTTGCAGCGCATCCGGGCACACCCGTCGGCTTATCCGGACAGGCCTTCATATTTCCGTCCTGGCATTTACATATCTTAAATCTGGACTCCCAAATCCGTACAAATACATGCACGTCAATCATACAAGCCAATGTCGCACGTAAATAGCAAATATTGGTACGAAGTATAGATAGTGTTTACATAAAATTATTTTAAGTGTCAAACTCAGCATTGGCTCTTTGGTTGCCATTGTAGGTTCACATGTGCTCCACAAGATCATTGAATAGTTGCGTGTGCACCTGCCGATCTCAAAGATTCTGATGCATCTGCAAAAGTTCATCAGCTATGCCGCATCTTGATCTTTTGGAATTTCAACTTGTTCTTCAGGTGCTTCGAAATCATGGGTTTGGGCTACACCATCACCCTCATTCTTGACAATTGTTTTGTGCAGAATACCACAACATGTCATCAGCTGCCACAAAGTTTCTAATTTCCATATCATTGCATCGCTCCACATAATTCTCCAATGAGTCTGAAGCACACCAAATGTCCTCTCCACATCCTTTGTAGCCGCTTCCTGTGGATCCGGCATGACGGCGGAGTGCGAGACGGACGACGCGGAGGAGGAAGAAGAGAGGAGATAGCAAATGGATCCGGCTGGTCTTCGGGATGAATTTTGTGCAATTTGGGGTGAAGTCAGGCTGTCGGGTCTGACGTGACGGACGTCCGGGCGCCCCTATATCCGCCTTATATTTAGGATGGATATGAGAGGTACTGGTCAACCCTGACGTTTGAGGGCCGTTTAAGGGGCCCGTCTGGATCAAAAAATTATGATCGGACAATGACCGGACGACCCGCTCAGGCATATGAGACGGATTTAATGTGCCCGGCTGTAGATACTCTTACGGGTGGGGGCGTATGTTGACCCCAGAGACATGCTCGTGGTACGGGAGTGTCCAACATTGATTGAGACGCGGCCATGCTGCTCTACTTGGGAAAGTAATTTCCTTGTCATGTTGTCGTGGTGTGAGTGGTGGATAATCTCTTATTAGTGTTGTATGCCGAAGGGCGTTCTACTAGCCGCTTGCCTATCGTGATATGAGAAATGATACGCCCTTTCACGGTGTGTATTCAAAAAATAATTATTATTCCGAGCGAAAGTGTTATTTTTTTTGCGGCAAAGCGAAAGTGTTACTTTAATCTTGAGCACAAATGCACATGCATGAACAGTAAATTCAAAGAAAAAGTTAAAACAGTTTAAAAATCTTTTTTTTTGTGAATGAACATCAACAAGTTTTTTAAATCAATTAATCAACAAGTTTTCGAACATCCAGCAATATTTCGCTCCGGGAAGACATCCTGAGGTGTGTGCAAGAAAAACAAAAAAAAGTGCGCTCCAATTTTTTTTAGTCCCAAATTATGTTTCTTTGTACAGGCCTCCAAGGATGTCTTTTCAAAGTGAAATTTTGCAGGATGTTAGAACTTTTATGATGTTCATACACAAAAATCATATATTTTAAATTTCTTTACTATTTGTTCGGAACTTACTGTTCATGCGGGTGCATTTGTGCTCAAGATTAGATACTCCATGTCCGATTCCGAGCTAATTTAATTTGAGCTAATTTTGATGTATGACAATGAGGTTCAGATTTAGACAACGAAGTTTTGTAGAATGAATAACTTAAATTTTCATATAGCATACAAACATAAAAGTTGGAAAGAATTCCTTATTTAACACTATCTTAAATTTCGTTTCCTTATTTGACACTAAAAAACTTTTTCTTCCCTATTTAACAGCGAGTCTAAATTTTATGCCTTTTATGACATTTTTGTCCATTTTAAGTCTAAATAAGACCGAAAAAGACTCTTTTATCCTTCATGTGATTTGTGTGTGCGTGGGGCAGTAGCACACACGCAACATCAGTGCGAGGGAGTAGCACACACATAGCAACACACACGCACGTGCACGCACACAACAACACACACGCACGCAGGGGTGAAGCCAGCAATGTGGCAAGATTTGGTGCCCGCCATACCTAATATTTGGTGCACATACTTAGTTGTATGATATACTAGCTAGCATACTCCTGTATAGTACGTGTTTGGTTTTAGCTTAGCCGTGCGTCCGTGCCGGCCCTGCTGGTCTGATTGCTGATAGATAATGGATAATGGCTAATGGGCCTGCTCCTTGATCAGCATGTGCCTTCAGTGCACTCCACACGTTTCCCCTTTAAAAAGAGTACACGCAGTTTGGTCGTATTTGTTAAACACAAAGTTATATGTACTATTCTAGCCAGCTCTTGCACAGTTATATTATATATGATTTTGCCCTTCATAAACTCTGCCACACCTGAAAAATATTTCTGTCCTCGTCACTGCACGCTCGTATCACACACACACGCACAGCACGGACGCACACAACACATATGCACGCAACAGCATGCGCGTGCGCACACACACATGCACGTACACACCCACTAGCAAACACACACGTACACATGCAGTAGCAAACACACACGCACACACACAGACACTCAGCAGTAGCATACACGTACGCGCGCGCACACGCAACAGCACACACACGCGCACACAAACATACCACTTGAGGGCAAAGGGGTCTTTTCAGGTGTCATTTTGGCTCAAAATGAAACGAAGTGTTATAAAAGGCATAAAATTTAGACTCGTTGTTAGATAGGGAAGAAATTATTTCTGGATGTCAAATAGGGCATAAAATTTAGACACGGTGTTAAATAAGGAATTCTCTCTAAAAGTTGTTGTTGGAATATTTCAGAATCAAGTTCAAATTCTGTCAGAACTGAAATTTGAAATTCAATCGAATGAACTGAATTCAATTCTGCCAAAACGTAACAACAGTAGTTGATAACAGAAAACTCTCGGTGTACAGTGAACTTATTACAGAGGTGAGATTTAAACGAAAATAAAAATTAGTTACACAAACTTTTCAACATACGTTCCTTGCTTCCCCGCAAGTTGTTTGCTCTGCAACCTGAAATTCTGGGAGGGATCAGCTGCTGTTGACGACCCTGCAGTTGCGCCTGATCTCGCCGGCGCTTCCGGTGAGCGGGGTGATGTTCCCCATCTTGATCATCGCGGCCACGAAGTCGGCGAAGAAGAGCGCGCTGTCGGCGCTGTACTGCCGCACCAGCTCGTCCTGGGCGGCGCCGTTGAAGAGCTCCTGGTCGGAGTGCAGCAGGGCCCGCCGCGCCACAAGGTTGGGGTAGTAGGCGTTGTCGAAGACGAACCGTGTCTGCGCGTCGAGCGGCGTCAGGTTGGTGTCGCCGGAGCCTGCCGGGGCGGGGCAGCTGCGGCGTAGATCGGCGGCGAACGCGGGGTCGATGTTGGTGTCGTTGTAGATGTGATCCCGGAAAAAGACGCACTGCGAGAAGCCGATGGTGTGCGCGCCCGAGAGCGCCGTGAGGTCGCGCGGGCTCAGGCTCTTGTTGGCGAATGACTGGATGAGCTCGGTCAGGTTCAGCGTCGGCCCCGGGAGGTCGCTGTTCGCGCCGTCCAGGCTCGCCGTCGTCGAGTCCCGCCGGCCCAGCGGCACCGCCCAGCTTGGGCCGCCGAGCTGCGCACGTACGTGACAAAGTACGTGCACGCATGCAGATTGTGGTCAGCGTAACTGTACCAAGTAATGAACGTACACACATGCATGCAGAACGTGAACGTGTGCTGCTGCGCGCCATGCAGGCACGTACTGTACGTACCAGAACTGTGCCCTCCCGTGCGGCCAAGGCGAGGATGTCGGCGCAGGACACGACGCCCGGGCAGACGTACTCCACATTCCTCTTGATATCGTCGATGACCTCGAAGCCACGGACGGAGTTGACGTTGGGGAAGGCGGTCTTCTCGCCCGTGAAGTTGGTCGCCGGCACGTCGTCCAGAAGGATGGACCCATCGCAGCCCTGAGAGAGACATACATATGTGTCGTCGCACCACCTCTTGACGTGATCACGAATGTAACCTCGTACGTGCATGGTGAGTGTGTTTACCTGAACGAAGCAGTCATGGAAGAAGAGGCGAAGGAGGGAGGCGCCCATGCGGCGCTCCGTGAGGACGGCCTTGATCATGCTCACGCGCACGATGAACCCCAGAGCAGGGCAGCTCTTCTCATAGAACTTGGGATCCAGCTGCCCGTCCCCGTAGCCGTAGCTGTTGCCATTGCCGTCACCGTAGCCATTGTCATTGCCGTTGCCATCCCCGTAGCCGTAGCCGTAGGCGGCGGAGGAGAAGAGGGAGAGAGCAACAAGGCATTGCCAGACAGTGGACGAAGCCATGGGGAGCTCACAAGTCACAACAAAGTTAAGCTCTCAAGTCTCAAGAGAGCTAGCTAGGCAGGCTTTCTTTGGAGCTGAGAGCTGAGCTGATGAAGTGTTGTGCATACATGATGCCCTATTTATAATGCTCTTCCGCTTCCATGCACATAGCTCTAATTTTCTGTCTCTGCCAACTAACTGATGCCCCCAGCCATGCATGTGGGAATATTCTGATAAAGTGGCACGATAAATTTCATTGTACTACCTGTATATATGTTTTTGAGGAGTAATTTCGTCCTAGCTAGATTCCTGAAAATAATCAACCGTCGTTTGGTGCAACTACGGGCAGTTGCCGGCACACACATAGTTAAACGATAGGCATGCCAAACTTTCAACGGGGCTGGACCGCGCGCTGTATCTTGCATAGGAACGGCGAGTGGAGGTGACACGGCAGAGCTGGGCATCAGTCGTGCTAGCCGAGATGTGTTGGCCGTACAGCAAAAAGTTAATCAGCTGGCGCGACTGGCGGTCAACTAACCATGAGAATGTCGTTGAGGTGTTAATTATGATCAGTGCTATCAGTACACGCACATTACGCGAGAGTACGACGAACCAACCAACGAACCTGCAGTCTAAGATATAGGGTGAGTCAATGGAGACGACTACTTTACACTACATTACATGTAGATAGATGTAGCGCCCTCTAGTCTATATCTATATCTATATCAATATAAAAAGATTCAAAGGGGCAGATCAATTAATCTTAGCTATCAAATCATGTCAATCCAACGACTTAGACTACTTCAATGTTGAGTGCTCAACACGTTTAGCGTGCGGTTAATTTTATGCCAAATATAATGTTAATCATATAATAACACACAAATAATATTCTACTTAATATCCGCATGCACTTAATATACTTCCAAATTAACGTGCATTGCACGCACAAATTGACTAGTGTACTCGAAAAAGAAATGTAGTGCCCTCTAGTGTGTACATGCATAGTACTCCCTCTGTCCGGAATTACTTGTCGCGAAAATGGATAAAAGTGGATATATCTAGAACTAAAATACGTCTAGATATATCCATTTCTTTAACAAGTATTTCCGGACGGAGGGAGTATATGTGATTCAACAATAAAGTGATAGGACGTTTTTGCCTCTTTTTTCTGAAAATTGCATCATGTATCTTTTAGTTATTTCTAGAGAAAGCTTTACGAAGTGAATTCACTACGACTCGAAGTCTTGTGTATGGATACTCTGCGCATTCTAGTACATGCTGCTACTTAATTATAAGCGCTTCTTTTATGAGCTTCTATCGTATGCAAACAATGTGATTATTTAGCAGCCTGCTTTCATGGCTTTGAGTCTCACTTGAAAAAATTATAAGTGGAAGTGTGTTTTGTTGTTCTTTGCTTAACTAGATGTCAAAGTATAAAGAACAAGCCATGTACAAGATGTCAAAAGTACAACAACCGTACAAGCTCGAGTTCTATGCTTCATAATAATAACAGCTTTGCAAATAACAAGGTCATGTATGACATATCGAAGTCTAAATAACAAGTTCATGTTCTTTACTTAATAATAATAATAATAATAGCACCTTCGCAAATAAAAATCTTTTGGTGTCCCAAAGGCGCCCATCTATCAGGGCTCCTTTAATAATAATAGCAGCTCCGCAAATAACAATCTTTTGTTGTTCCAAATGCGCCCATCTATGAGGGCTCTATGCTAGTTCTATCAAAGTTTTATTACGCCAAAATCCTACATGCATATCATATGCAAATATTATAAATTTCAGTGTGGAAAATATATTGCATGTTTGTTCCTTGGGAAACCGATGTTGAACGAATTAAATTGGTACTCCCATCGTTTCTTTTTACTCTGCATATTAGATTTGTCTAAAGTCAAACTCTTCAAAGTTTGACCATGTTTACACGGAAAATTATTAACATTCACAATACAACAATGACATCATTAGATCCATCATAAAATATAATTTTATATTATACTTATTAGGTCTTGTAGATGTTGATATTTTCCAGTATAAATTTGGTCTAACTTTGCAAAGTTCAGACAAATCTAATATGTGAAGTAAAACGAAATGGAGGGAGTACATGTGGGAGTTCAACATAAAATGTTTATTGGTACTTCAGAATTTTCCCTTCTAAAACAAAAGTGTCAAAGTGTTTCTTACTTCGTTGTACTTTGATCATATATTGTGCACATTTTATTCAAATTTGTCGTGCAATTTTGTTTTAGCACATAGATGCACCGATGACAGATTTGAGTTCCTGGAACTCTTTTGTTTGACTATGTTTAGCATGCAGATGCACTTTAGGCTGAATACAAATCTCACTCTACTTTTTTGTAGCTCAACATTGTAACCAAGGTCGTGTACACATCTTGTGAAGGTTTCACAAAATCTTGAAGTTGGTGGAGGTTTTGCTAAGGACTGGCTCCATTAATAATTTATGTATGACTTGGCTTAGTATCCGTGTATGGCGGACGAGCTAGTCTCGGACTTTTTACTAGCTGGATCAATGATGGCGGCGTCCTCAACCTCATCCCTTTCTTGGAAGCATCATGTTGGAGGCGGGCCTTCTTTGCCTTGGTTGGGCACTTGTCTTTGCATTTGATCGATTGGGAGGAGGCCGGAGGTGATGGCGCAACACTCGGTTATTGCCCGTTGCTCGGGGCATGAGACTTTAGGGGCCACAAATTATGACTTCCTACACATGTCCTCCCTCTAGATTGGTCGGTTCCTGCTATCCGCCCGCTGACTCTTCTAGGCGCTTATGGGTGGAGGGCGTGTTGAACAGGGGAGTTCTAGAGACGTGCCCGTTATACACGGGTAGAAAAGGGCCTATAGTCCCGGTTCGTAAAGGCCTTTAGTCTCGGTTCCTGAACCGGGACTAAAGTGTCGGTACTAATGCCCTAGACCTTTAGTCCCGATCCAGAACCGGGACTGATGGGCCTTCACGTGGGCAGTGCGCAGAGCCCAGACAGGAGACCCTTTGGTCCCGGTTGGTGGCACCAACCGGGACCAATAGCATCCACGCGTCAGTATTTCTGTGGCTGGAGTTTTTGTTTTTTTAAGGGGGGGTGGGGGTTTTGGGGGGTTAATTTAGGTGTTTCATATATTGTGTTAGCTAGCTATAATTAATAGAGAGAAGTGTGCTCTCTTACGTCCGTGCTTGGTCGACGCTACGTACTATACATACGTATAGAGAGGACTAGACACGCTAGTTAGCTAGTAAGCAAAGAAGGAAACAGAAGATCGTCATGAACATATATGCATACAGAGAGAAGTGATATCGACCACCTCTTCTTCTCCGAGAGATTGGTCGAACAACAAGTTCTCGTATATCTATCCGACACTACCGGCTACATATATACAATAATTATCTCTTACAAATATAATCATACGGACTCATGGTCCACATAGTATTCTCCATCTTCAGCGATCACTTGGTCAAGAAAGAATGCCACCAATTCCTCTTGAATTGCTCGCATGCGAGCTGGTGCTAGGAGTTCATCCCGCTTCTGAAACATCTAATTTGAAGAAGGGGGTCAATACATATATATATGAATGAATGAAACTCAATACAAATGATGGTAATAAAATAAAATTGTGAATGTTGTTATTTACGTACTTCATATTGTTCGTCAGAGTACCCGTCCCGCTCACAGGTCGTGTGGCGGATGGACTCGCAGACGTAGTATCCACGGAAATCATTCCCTTTTTCCTGCCACAACCACTTTACAAGAAATAGAGGTCAATCAAACTGATAAGAAAGAATGCTAAATGGTATTGATGAAACTAGCGCTTGAATCACTAGAAGATGCGCGGAACATGCTACTATAGTACTTACTTTTGGGTGTCTAAATTCCAGCTCCTTCGGCAGTCCCGGAACTGTTTTGGTGAATTTTCTCCAAACCCTGCCGGACAAAGAAAACAATTACTTGATATCAGAAAATGAACAAAGTTGCTGATACGGTGGATAATGATCGATTTAACTTACTTCTTGAGAATTTCAGTCATGTCCGCATACTCCTGGGGATTTTTTCGTTTAGAGTCCAAGACGGTTACTACTCCCTGCTCAAGCCTAATCTCTAGGAGAATATAGTGGAAAACTGCACACGCATGCATAACTCATCAATTACATTACTATAACCTGGACTAATATATAAGGGAAACCGAATATGCACAAGACAGTAACACTCACTTGAAGTTGTAAGGAAAGAGTATTATATCTTTGTTTTCATTTTTTTTGAATGATCGTAGCAAGTTGGCCTCGGTATCTCCGGGACGATGTTCAACCTCAGTTGCATCTATGAGATATGTGTTAACGAACCCAATATCACCGATTTGTCTTTTCTTCAATTCGGCGATCTTCATTCTGCATAATATAGTGAGGATAATTATAAATACATGCAATGAAAGAGATGAGCTATATAGAGAGACTTAATGACAGAAGTAGTAGTACTTACAGACAGTAGCAGGTGATCGTTGTTTTATCGAGGGCCAATTGATTGAAAAACTGATAGAACTCCTCAAATGGAATAGGCAACAGTTCATTTCCAACGAGGCCATGCTCCGGTTTAACTCTCGCATACAAAGTACTCCTCCCCCAGACTCTCTGCAGATTTTCAAGTACTAATCATGTAATCTTCGCATCATCATTGTTAAAGATTTTTCATCTTTGACGAGAGGCTTCCCGTACTCGTATCTATGTATCTGCACCTCCATGGGATCATAATGTACATCGTCGGGCAGGTAATCGTCAACATTACCATAACCGGGCACCATCCTCGGATTGACGATGTCGCTAGGCACCTTGAGGGGGGGGGGCACGATTGCTTCGCTTGTTCGCCGAGCTGGGCAATTTGTTTCCCAGTTGCTCGTCATTCTTTCAGCCTTTGATCACTGACTGTACTTCCCGACCGCTCCGCTTCGGCCCATGTCTTTGCAATAATGCGCTCATAGTTGCCTTTCGGCGGAGACTTGGGTGGTTTTGC